TACTTAGTACTACTCTGTTTAATTTCCTCCTTAATTTTTACATAATTTTTTTTCTGTCATGTATACCCTGGTAGTCACTTATTGTCCAATTTTTATGTATCTATATACTGTACTATTTGTTTGTTATCAAATGAAATTGTACTCCCATTTATATTTTTCCCCTCCTTCCTAATAAATGGTGAGAATTGATTTAATCCAACAGTTGGAAATGACTTTATAGAGCATTGCGTATACGTTCTAAGTACTTTCTATTAAGTACGATGGGTAGCTTTTTTCAGAAGTTCATAGAAATCCCAAAAATTTGGTGACTTCCGACAACAGTTTACTTTGAAGTTTGTCTTTTTAGATAGTTTTCATGATTCAGTGAGAAACTCTTACACATTTTTAATTAACATTATCATACTTATTACAACATTATTATGCATTTTACATGTAAGGCCATAACAGTTTGTCTAAAATCGGTTATCTCTATCTATAATGTAACATACGAATAGCGTTTTAGTACTACACTCTTAACCCCATGCACCTCCAACAACTTTGCTTATATTTTGCACAATTATTATTAAATAATTTCTAAATGATAAATCAATTATTATAAAATATTAATAAAAATGTGTTTTATTCTAACAATATATTATTATTTTGAATCTGTAATATTTTTTAATTCTGAAAACTATTTTGAATTTTATTTTAGTTCATATACTACTGACATTTAATACTAATTAACAGTCTACAAAATTAATTTTATATTTGGTATAATAAATTTCAATAACTTAATTGATATATGTAAATAGTTATTAAAAAAAATTAATTCCTAAATTATACCATAAATATAATATCTCCCGTTTCTTTAACAAATTAAATCAGATTTATTTTCTTTTCTTTCTCTCTCGCTCCTCTCCCTCTCGCTTTCTCTCTCTCTCTCTTTCGCTCATTCAATAACAATGGGTCGTGGGAAACTAAAGTTGGAATTGATGCGCAATGAGAAATCAAGAAGATTGACTTTCAAGAAAAGAAAACATGGTTTGATCAACAAATTGCATCAGTTGACTACCCTATGTGACGTCACCGCATGCATGATCATCTTTGATGATAATAGTAATTATCATGAACCCGAAATTTGGCCTCGAGATCCCGAAAAAGTCCGACGAATCGTTGAATCGTACGATTCCCCGAAATCAGTAAGTACCTTTGGTCTTTCTGATTTCTTTCGTGACAGGACGAAGACAGTCGATGAGGAACTCAAGAAACTGCGTAAGAGTAACTTGGAGTCCAAGTTTCCGATTCGACAAGAGTTCTTGGATTCTTTGACGGAATCCCAGTTGAGGGAATTTGGCGACGCATTGAAAAACAAGGCTCGGATTGCCAAATCAAGAATCGAGTTCTTGAAGAATCAAGAATCGACTATGAAACAAGAATTCTCGTCGACACTACTCGATTATCCGCCGCCCCCCGATTTTGGAAATCTTGATCGTAATCAAGAAACTGCTTCCTCTTCTTCATCTGTCATGAATCAGAATAATTCTGTGGTGATGATGGATTTTGCTCATGCACCGAAAAGATTCGGTCTCGATGAAGATTTCTGCACTTGGAATAATATTCATGATCAAGAAACTGATTTCGCTACGAATAATAATCATCAGAATAATTCTGTCGTGATGATGATGGATTTTGACCCGGAAATATTAGGTTTCGATCCGGCCCGCGATTTGTCCGCTTGGGATTTTGACGAGCAAGAAATTGATTCTTGTTTGAAAGAGATCAGCGATGATGCCACCAACTTTGATGATCGGCACTACTGCGGGCCCTCATCAGATATCATGATTCCGCAGCACTACTATACGGCGGCCGCACCGGTGGTGGTGGAGGACGTCGTTCTGCCGCCGCAGCTACAGTACTGGGAAAACGACGGTGGTGATCAGGAGGAGGATATATTGCAGTTCTTTGATGGTTCTTTCTGGTCTTGATTTATGAATTGCAGTTTTTTTAAGTATTTTATGTATTTGATCTTGGCTTTGTACATATGATTGTGTAATTAATGATCAAATTTTTATTTTCTTTCATATATATTTTAGTGTTCTTGTATTTAATAAGTTCAGAAAGCATTGTGAATTAGTGCAAGCTCAGAGTAAAAAATGCATTCTAGCTTCTGGCTTATTTTTAAATTGAGAAGTAGCTCATAAGCTCATAGAAAATAAGTCTTGGCTTAATTATAAAGTTATCAAACTTTCAAGATAACAAATAAAAATATATATATATATTTATTTAGAAATATTTGAAATTATTTAAGATTTTCCTACACCCAAATTCTGATAATTAGAAAATACAATTAAGTAGGTTTAAATGATTGTGTTTTGAATATTTTATATTAAGTTATATACGCCAGGCCCAAGGCCCGAAACACAACACCGGCGACGAAAATGAGGTTTTTGCGAGGTCCAAAATTATTGCTCTGTGTCTCGTCGTCGTAAATACTGCGATGAATTTTTTTTTTCCGTCGCTTCGTATTGGACGAAATGGTCAAATCATCGCGATATTTAGATTTTCCTAGAAAATTTATATTATTTTCTATTGCGACGATACGTACTCTGTTATGCCGTTGGAGTGAGTTACGTATAGGGCCAGTTGAAGCTTGGCGGGAGAATGGGCAGCGGACGCCGGAGGGGCGACGAAGAAATGTTGTCGGATTTATGAAACAGTGAAGGAGCCAAATTGAGAAGGAAAGACAGGACGAAAACAAAAACACGATTTGGAGGAGAAAAGGCAGTTTAGGACGAGAATTTGGCGACGCATTGAAAAACAAGGCTCGGATTGCCAAATCAAGAATCGAGTTCTTGAAGAATCAAGAATCGACTATGAAACAAGAATTCTCGTCGATGGATTTTGGAAATCTTGATCGTAATCAAGAAACTGCTTCCTCTTCTTCATCTGTGAATCAGAATAATTCTGTGGTGATGATGGATTTTGCTCATGCACCGAAAAGATTCGGTCTCGATCCGCCTCATGAAGATTTCTGCACTTGGAATAATATTCATGATGATCAAGCCCCTGCTTTCGCTTCGAATAATAATCATCAGAATAATTCTGTCGTGATGATGATGGATTTTGATCCCGGAAATATTAGCTTTCGATCCGGCCCGCGATTTGTCCGCTTGGG